AACTCTGCCTTTCAAATAAATAAATAAATAAATCTTTAAAAAAACATAAATGGAGCCTTGATTCTTCATTCTGTTCCTTTATTTTGTAAAACCCTTTTTAAATTTATTTCAGAATAGTTTTAAATTTACAAGACAAAAAATATGAGGTAGTAATACAAAGAGCTCCCATATATTGTCACTCCACTTCTATCACTAACATCTCATATTATTACATTTGTCACAATTAATGAACTGTACACAGCTGCTCCTATTCTTTAAACATTCATTCATTCATTCATTTGAAAGGCAGAGTAACAGAAAGACAAAGAGAGACAGAGATTTTCCATCCACTGGTTCGCTCCCCAAATGCTCACAACAGCCAGGACTGCACTAGGCCGAAGCCAGGAGCCCAGAACTCCATCCAGATCTCCTATCAGAAGGCAAGGACGCAGCACTTGGGCCATCAGTCTCTGTCTTCCCAAGCGCATTAGCAAGGGGCTGGGTTGGAAACAGAACAGCCAGGACGGCAGCTGGGACTCTGATTTGGGGTGCCCGCGTCACAGGTGGTGGCTTGAACCCCCGAGCCACCACACTGCCCCCTCTTTTTTTCCATCCAAGCTTCTTTTACACCCCTCCCAGCTCCTGGTAATCAACATTTTGTTTTGCGGGGGAGGGATTTTTTTATGTTGTTTTTTAGCTCCCAGATATAAGGGAGAATATGCAGTATTTGTATCTGGCTTATGTCACTCAACATGATGTCCTCCAATAACGTCCATTTTGCTGTACGTGGTAGAATTTCATTCTTTTTTATAGCTGAATAATATCCCATTGTGTACATATACCACATTTCTTTTTTTTTTTTTTTTTGACAGTCAGAGTTAGACAGTGAGAGAGACAGAGAGAAAGGTCTTCCTTCCATTGGTTCACCCCCCAAATGGCCGTTATGGCTGGTATGCTGCGCCAATCCGAAGCCAGGAGCCAGGTGCTTCCTCCTGGTCTCCCATGCAGGTGCAGGGCCCAAGCACTTGGGCCATCCTCCACTGCCCTCCAGGGCCACAGCAGAGAGCTGGACTGGAAGAGGAGCAACTGGGACAGAATCCGGCACCCCAACCAGGTCTAGAACCTGGGGTGCCAGCGCCGCAGGTGGAGGATTAGCCAAGTGAGCCACGGCCAATATACCATATTACTTTATCCATTCATCTCATGGTGGACACCTTGGTTGACTATTTTTGCTATTGTGAGCATTGCTGCTATGGATATGGTGTTGCAGGTATCTTATACAGTGTGTTCATGTCTTTTGGGCATATACCCAGTAGTGGGATTGCTGGATCATAGGGCAGTTCCATTTCTAGCTTTTTAAGAAATCGCCATAGAGTTTTTCACAGTAGCTGCACTAATTTGCATTCCCACCAAGAGGATATAAAAGTTCCCCTTTCTCCAGCAATTGTTACTCTCTTTCTCTTTCTGATGATAGCCAATCTGACATGTGAGGTGATATCTCATTGTGGTTTTGATCTGCATTTCCCTGTGAGCATTTCTTCATACGCTTGTTGGCCATTTGTATCTCTTCTTTCAAGAACTCTCTTCTCAGTCCTTTGCCCATTTCTTAACTGGATTGAATGTGTTTTTTCTTATTGACTTTTTTGTGGAAGATCATGTTTATTTAGATACTTTGTTCAATATCCTGTAGGGATTACACTGAATGTTTAAAGTTGTTTTTTTTTTTTTTTTTTTTGAAGGGCTGAGTGACGGGGTGTGGGGAGGGTGACAGGGAGAGGAGAGACCTTCCATATGCTGATTCATTCTTCAAATGGCCACAATGGCCAGGTCTGGACTGAGCCGAAGCAAGAGTCTGGAGATCGGTCTGGGTCTCCCACATGAGTGTCGGGGTCCAAGTACTTGGACAATATTCTGCTACTTTCCCAGGCAGATTGGCAGGTTGCTACATTAGAATTGGAGAAACTGGGGCTTGAACTGGGACTGTTTTTAAAATTTATTTATTTATTTGAGAGGCAGAGTTACAGAGAGAGAGAGACCTCGAAAGAGAGGGAGACACACACACACACAGAGAAAGAGAGAGAGGGGTCTTTCATCTGCTAGTTCACTCCCCAAATGACTGCAACAGCTGGAGCTGGATCAGTCTGAAGCCAGGAACCAGGAGCTCCTTCCAGGTCTCCCATGTGAGTGCAGGGGCCCAAGAACTTGGGCCATCCTCTGCTGCTTTCCCAGGCACATTAGCAGGGAGCTGGATTGGAAGTAGAGTGGCCAGCACTTGAACCGGTGCCCATATGAGATGACAGTACCACATGCGGCAGATTTATCTGCTACACCACAGTGCCAGCACCTGAACTGGCATTCTGATATAGGATGCCAGCACCCCAAGTGGCAATGTAAACCATTGTGCCACAACTCTAACCCTTACACTGAATTTTTACTATATTAGGAAACAACTGAATTAGTAAAAGTATCAGAACACACCATCCATAAACATGTTATGCTTTTCTATTATTTGGGTCTTTTTATATGTCCTTTAACAAAGCCTTTAAATTATCTGCACCAAGTATTTTGGCTGTTAGTCAACCAGAGACAAGCATTGTTGCTTAGTTACACTGCATGAACAAGAGCACCAGAGCTGCATAAAGCAAGGTAGGAGAGGCGGGAGCCCAACACAGCTTTTCCCTCTCTCAGCTCTGGTGCTCAGCTCTTCCCATATAATGGGACCCAAGGAGCGACAGGAGTCTCCATTTCTCCATGTTCTCGGAGCCTTCTACCTCCTTCCGGTCTACTGTGTGACACCTCGAGGGATAATCTGGAGGAGTGAGTGAGCACAGTTTATATTTATTCTTCTTTCTTTCAGGAATAGGTATTTACACACGTGTGGACACACACACAGGCACACACACATGTGCAGGAAGAGCATGCCTCCACAAGTTCACAAACATCCATGTTTCCTACCTGAAAAAAAGTCTCAAATAAATGCATATGATGAACTATTTGTATTCTGTAATCAAATAGGGTTTATTCTAGGAACACCTGCATTTACATGAGATGAAAATCCCAGCCTCAGTCAGTAAAGCGCATGACAGAAGCCTTCACACACGTGCATGTGTGTCTGCAGCCATTCCTGGTACAGCTGTGATTACATCTCCCAAGTTTTTACCACCACCAATCTCTCAGCACTCCGACAGAGCAGCAGATCTGCGCGTACGTGGTGCTGGTGGGGAGGCCATGGTTCATTTCCAGCTGGCTGAGTGTGTTCATGCTGCTCTTCAACTTTTGTTGTTGTTGTTGTTGTTATCAAATTCCTTTTGCACATCTCTACTCAAAGAATATGGCCCGTGTGATCCTCTACTCTGAATACCTCACTGAGGATTCTTTGTGGCTGCTTATAAGGCAATTGTTGGTGGACGGGAAAAGAAAATGAATTTATCGAAGGTGAAGACCATAATGATCTTGATTAAATCAGCATTGCAGATTAAATTCTTCAATATGAGATTTATCATGAATTTTAAAAAGTCTTCCGTTACTGATTTCTTTCCACTTCTCTTTGTAGTTCTAAAAGTTTTATCTCATATACCTCATGGCATGTTATTTAGTAACATCTCATAGCTGGTAAAGCCTTATTTTGGATCCTACCATTCACTACTCACTGCCTACTCTGTCTCACTACCTTCCTTTAACTTAAATTCAACTGTGTTTAATATTAACACTACAAAATCCTCTCTTTTTTCATTCTCTTTTGCATGTTCTCTAATCCTTAGGAGTTATTTTGGTTTAAGCATAGTTATTTTAAACTAGTTTTCAATTTATTTAATGGGAAAATTCCCATTAACTTTTACTATGTTTGATTTGACAAAATTCTGTCATTTTATTTATTTTTTTGTTGTTCTGGGAGATTTTCATGCTTCTTGGTAATTCTTAAAAAAAGATTTATTTTATTCATTTGGAAAGCATAGTTACCACAGGGAGGGTAACACTCACACTCAGAGATGGAAAGAGGGAGGGAGGGAGGGAGGGAGGGAGAAAGAGAGAGCGAGAGCGAGAGAGAGAGAGAGAGAGAGAGAGAGAAATGATCTCACAGGGAGGGTAACACTCACACTCAGAGATGGAAAGAGGGAGGGAGGGAGGGAGGGAGGGAGAAAGAGAGAGCGAGAGAGAGAGAGAGAGAGAGAGAGAGAGAAATGATCTTCTATCCACTGGTTCACTCCCCAAATGATCATAATGACAGGGGCTGGGCAGGCCAAAGCAAGGAGCCTGGACCTCCATCTGGATCTCCCACATGGATGAAAGGGACCTAAGAACTTGGGCCGTCTTCTACTGCTTTTTCCAGGCCCATTAGCTGGGAGCTGGATCTGAAGTAGAGCATCTGGGACTCTAACTGGAGCTCCTATTGGATACCGGTGTTGCAGGCAGTGACTTAACCCACTGTGCCACAACACTGGCCCATTCTTTCTTTCCTTCTTACATTACTCTTTGCCATAAGATTTTTTTTTTCAGACAAATTGAGGGCAATCCAATTTGTAAGATACACTGTTGCCATTGTTGCATTTTTATGTAACATTTATTGCACCTATGTACCTCTGCTTATTAACGTTGAAGATGGAGCAGTACCTCCATTTCTTCTTCTATCCCATGTGAGAATAGCAATAGGACCTACTCTGGTGTCTCCCAACATCCAGGTGACAAGGTCCCCACTCCCCTGACTGTAAGGATGAGAATATTCCCTGGAGTTTGAGTCTTAGTATCAGATACTCTTGTATTCCACAGCAGCTCTGTGACTTCCTGGCTATGTTACACTGAACCCACGTAGATTCCAACACAGTGCACATGAAGCCGTTGTTCTCATTCATCATTTCCTATGGTTACAATGTTCATTGCTGGGTAACTTGCAAATACACAAACATAGTGATTTACCATGTCTAATAAAATGCTTTGTTCAGCATACATTCCAGGTGTAAATGAATTTTATAAATCTAAGATTGAAATAGGCATTTTATTTTGGAAAAAATAATAGGACCTACCTGATAGGTAGACTGGGGAATTAAGAGATGACACACAGGATGTTGTATGACTGGTATCCAACACACAGATGGACGCACTTTCAGGTGTGAGTGCTGTCACTCTCCTTGTTGTCATCATCACTCTGCCTCCAAAGAAAATGAGAAAATCAACACTACTTGACTTCCTTCTCCATGGTCCTCACCATGTGTGTTTTCTTACTACAATCGATGGTATTTTTATTACTGTTAAAACACTTCTAAATATGTGTCATCTCTTTCATTACGTGTTTCTAACAGGTGGGTTTTCTTTGTGAATTCTATTTATAACAACCACTTTAACATAACCATGCTTCAAGTGATCCAAGCACACATCTTTTTGTACTTCATGTTGTCCATATTTCTGAAGTTTCTGGGGTTTTTTTGTTTGTTTTTTGTTTTTTGCTTATAAATGGTCCTTTGTTTGCATTAAGAATAGATGGGTTCGGGCCGGCGTCGCGGCTCACTAGGCTAATCCTCCGCCTTGCGAGCCGGCACACCGGGTTCTAGTCCCGGTCGGGACGCCGGATTCTGTCCCGGTTGTCCCTCTTCCAGGCCCGCTCTCTGCTGTGGCCAGGGAGTGCAGTGGAGGATGGCCCAAGTACTTGGGCCCTGCACCCCATGGGAGACCAGGAGAAGCACCTGGCTCCTGCCATCGGATCAGCGCGGTGCGCCGGCTGCAGCGCGCCAGCCGTGGCAGCCATTGGAGGGTGAACCAACGGCAAAGGAAGACCTTTCTCTCTGTCTCTCTCTCTCACTGTCCACTCTGCCTGTCAAAAAAAAAAAAAAAAAAAAGAATACATGGGTGGAGTGGACATTTAACCCAGCAATTGAGACACCCAGGCCTCACACAGGAGTATCTGGGTTCAAGTCCTGGCTCCAGTTCCTGACTCCAGCTTCCAGTTAATGCTGGGGGCAGCAGTTATGTTCTCTCTTATCTGATCTGGCAATAAAGAGCTGTTGCCACCCACATGGGAGACCTGGATCGCACTCCTGACTCCCAGCTTTGGCTCCAGCCCGGTACTAGCCATTGCTGGTATCTGGGGAATGTACCGGTGGATGGGCCATCCGCCTCTCCCTCTCCCTCCCTCTCTCCCTCCCTCCCTCTCTCCTTCCCTCCCTCGCTCTCTTTGCCTCTCAAATAAATAACTGAAGAAAAAGAAGACTTGGATTCTAAGTTTGTCTTACATTGCTTCACACTGTGGGAGAGAAGTTAGCAGTGAGGCCAAGGTTTGTCTCTGGGAGCCATGGGCTTCCCTGCCTGCATGTGTGGATGTCAGAATTCTGACGGACTACTTGCACAAGCCGCCAGGAAGAGGACACCTCCTTCGCTCCGCTGACCTGACTGGCCTGGGACAACCTCCTCTGGGGCAGATCTGGGTCTTTCCCCAGTTGGCCCTGGGATTCTCTTATCTGATCCCGGAATAACACTTCTGATGGCTCCTTCCTTCCTTGGGTCTTCTTTACTCTGACCTTCTTCAGAGTGATTTTCACTCTTTGCCTCCTTACTTGGCACTTCCCAGAGGATTCGCTCCCATTGCCTCACACCACACAAGCCCCTTTCGGCAGAGCCAGGCTTTCTCACTCACACCTCTTCCAGGGTCGTGAACTTGACTGTGATATTACTTGTTACTGTGAACTACTTCCTTTGCTCTCCCAGGCCCCTCCCTTGCTAATTTAGTTTGACCCTCTCAACTTTCATGTCTTGTTTTGAGGATTATTCACTGGGTATGGAGTACATCAAAGTCACTTTTTACTCCAACAGTAAGCCATTCCATAATTCCATAATGATAACACACTACCTGTGTGTTATCATTCTTCATTTTAAGCTTTGGAGGTTTCTGCAGGCACCATAGTGTTGATTAGTGTTTTATGCCCATTCGTTTCTAAGTGAAAATTTTTCATGATCTAGAATTTGTGTCTAAGTATAGCAAGAAAAATCTCCTGTGATCATTTTGGCATTTATGTAGATGCTTAGAGCCTTTGTATTATATTTTAAGCAGGAGAGAGGTCACAATTCAGTGATACAACCACCTTTGCAGAATAAACAAACAATAAGTATTAAATAAGTGTTGGGCATTCTCAGCATCATCATTATCACTGACAAATCTGACTTCATAAGAGTTTCTAATTAATCCAATGAAAATATAGTCCATAAAGTCAAAGATACATGATAAGCCAAAAATATTTGCCACACAAATGACAGAGAATTTCTATAAATTAATAAAGCATTTACATGCCAATAAAATTTCAGTAATCTACTAGAAAAATGGCAAAGTTTTGAGCAGTTAGTTTCTGCCCTTATAAGCCAAATAAAATTACAGGCATATTAAAAGATATTTATGGTTTAAAATTTTTAAATTTTATGTATGAATTTTTTACCTATGAAATGGAAAATATTTTAAAAATTAATTATAATGAGCATTAACCAATTAGAACAAGCACTGGGGAAGAAAAATGTGCTCTCTTATGACAACAAAGGGAGTAAGAATTTAAAAACACATATTTGACCAAGCAAATCCACTTTAGCTCTTACATATCTTGGTGCATCTGTGCAAATATGTTCATTCTAGGATTATTTGTAATAGGAAATATACTGGTAAGGAGGATGAGGTTCCATAACCAAGACACCCAATAAATAGGCAGTGACACCAAAAACATAAATGTCTATTTCTCTCATTCAGGATTCAAGGTGAAAATTGAAGCTTTGGTCAGCAGGGCAGAGCTACCTTTTGTGGTCATTTGGGTACCCATTTCCTTCTAAAATATCACTCCACCTTGCCCTGGGACATCGTCATAATCTCCAGGGTGTAGGGTCTCCACCACACCCATCTCACAGCCGGCAGGAAAGTGAGAGGCAGTGGAGCAGGCCTGCACAAGGTCTTGAAGCCCAGTTTCAGAACTGACTCACAGCATTTCATTACAGGCCATTAGCAGGAACACAGCCCACTTCTGCAGTTATCTGCCAGAGGCGTTGGAAAATGTAATTGAATGGCGCACCCAGGCAAAAACAAAAATGGACTTTGGAGAACAACCACAGGTCTCTGCTTCAGAAAGAATCTGAATATCCATCAAAACAGGGATAATCAATTAATCTAGTTCTGTTCAGTGTAATACTAGATTTTAATAAAAGTCTAAGTTAAATCTCCCATTCTGCTAGATATACATACTAGACAGACCCCCTACATATTGTGAAGTAGAAAAGATACAAAAAATGTACTTTATTCATATTTGTGTGTTCAAAAAAAGGGATTTCTACCCACACGCGTACATACAGGCATACAGAGCACGTCTGTGAGAAAGAATGATTAACAGAGGTACAGCTCTGAGTTAAAGTAGGAGTTCGACGCTAAAGAAAACTTAGTTTTTCATCAGTTCTCTTTCCATATTGTGGCATTGGCACTAGATCTCCACACCATTACTAACACTGCAAATACAAGTATGAATACAAGTATGAACAACCCTGCCCTTGCTTACTCCTCAGCTGCAGTGACCTGTGGCCATGCATCTTCCCAGGCTCACCGACGCATTCTTCAAGCTCCTCTCTTGTCATGCCTTGAACTTGAAGCTTCTTCGGTGCTGTCTCTCATTTTCCTTTCTTGCTCATAACCGCAGCAGTCCCCCTTATCTGTGGTCTCGGTGTCCACAGTCAGCCACGGGCTGAAAATATGAATGGAGAATTCCAGAAATAAGCAATTCGTCTTTGATTCTCCACTCGGAGCAGGATGGTGAAATCTCCTCCATCCCTTTGTCCGATCCCATGGAATCTGAGAGGAAAAGAGAGAAACTATGTTAATTTATCCAGGGTATTGCTATAATTACACAGTTTACAATCAGTTGGTGTTAATCTCCTCCTGTACCTAATTTATATAAATGAAACTTTATCATGGATAGATATGTAGAGGAAAATGTTGTATATGTACATATATAGTAAATATGTACACATACAAACACAGACATCACATATGTGTGTTTCTCTAATCTCAGGTCCCCCATCCTCCAGGACAAAGGATGGGGAGCCCTGGCAAAAGGGTTTGTTGGCTGTAAATCAGCAAACTCTTCCCCAGATTTGCTGGTCCCAGGCAGAGTGTTGGGGTGGGGGGGCTTCCCTTAGGGACTCTGTGAAAGTTTAATGCCTCATGTTATCAGGTCAGGGAACCCATTTGGTCCTGAGGAGAGAGAATTCCCCTGGGGGCTTTCCTTGGGGGAAGGGCTGAGACCACCTGGGAGGTGACCAGGGTCTGGGCAGGACTTTGAAGTGCAAGATGCGGGGCTTCTGGGGCCTCCAAAACAGATGCTGGTTTCTTCATTCCCTTCTCACACACACATGGGCTAATTTTTAACTTCTTACCTAATATTTCCAACTGTTCACTGAGAAAGCCTGAAATTCACGACACTCCAGTGACAATGTATAGAACTAGTACCACGTCTCAACGTGTAAACAGCGTTCCCCAGTGAAACTAACAGGGCACCTTAGAGAAATGGCCAGCTGCAAGACTGGAACAGGGAAAATATAAGCCTGAAACATCTTGTAGTATTAGAAAGCAAGGAAGTGTTCAAAGGAAGGAAGTGTTTGACCTGGGGCAGGTCAAAAGGACACAGGTGGCAACTTAAAGGACTTCAGAATCAGCCAGTCTGTCACAATTTGAGCAGCAAAACCATGAATGATAGTCGCAAACTGTAACCATAGAATAAAGCAAATCTCTATCAGTCTATACTGACAGCAATGAATAATTTAAGAAATAGGTAAATAAGTAGAGGATGATTCTACAGCAGAAGTCTCATTAACGAATACAGAAAGAATAAGAATAGAACACTACCAGTTGATACACTGTGGGGGCAAATTCATCAATGGATGCTGAAATTAGAAGACAAATATGACAAGAAACAGGTCATTGTAATCTCAAAATCTCATAGTCACATGATATTCATTACAAGGAGAAAAATAGGATCCTCATAGTGGGACAGCCTGGTAAATATCACCATAATCCAGTGGCTAAAGGTGATTATCAGAAATGGGACATTAGTGACACCAGGTACTCCAGCTATGACTGAGAAGAGCATATCACTTTTGTCCTAATTTCACCAAAAATATGGAATTTCGATCTAATCAGGAGAAATTCAAATGGAAGGACATTCTACAAAATATAAGTGGCCAGCAGTCTTCCAGAGGCTTCTTAAGGTTACAAGAAACAATGAAAGACTGATGACCCGATACAGATCGGAGACAACCAAGGACATGAGTGGGACCGCTAATGTTAATAAGGCAAAATTCTAGATACTAACTAGTTGCTATATACCAACTAATGTTGTGCCAATGTTAATTTCCTGGTTGCAGTCAGTTTACTATGGTTAGATAAGATGTTAACTAGAGGAAGCTGGATGGAAGGTATGGGGTCGGGGAGGTGCTGACACTGGCATCCCATATGGGTACTGGTTCCAATCCCTGCTTACTCCACTTCTGTTCCAGTTCTCTAATGTGCCTGGGAAGGCAGCGTGATGGCCCAAGTCCTTGGACTCCTGCACCCACGTGGGAGACCTGGAAGAGGCTCCTGGCTGTTGGTTTCAGCTTGGCCCGGTCCTAGCTATTTGAAGAATGAACCAGTGGACGAAAGACCTCCTCTCCCCTCCCCTCCTCTCCCCTCTCCCCTCTCCCCTCTCCCTTATCCCCTCTTCTCTCTCCCCTCTCCTCTCCTCTCTTCTTCTCTCTTCTCTTATTCTGCTGCTGCCTCTGTGACAGCAGAATGTGCCTTTCAGATAAATAATTAAACCTTTTTTTTAAAAAAAGGGAAGGTATATGGGGACTATACTATTTTTTTAAAAGACAGATTAATTAATTTGTTAGAGTCGACCACCCGAAAAACGTCACCAAGAGACATCTCTTATGCAAACAGCAAGGGGAAGCTTTATTGATTATCCAGCATGCTGGGGCTGTCTGATCATCATGAACAGAGCAGCCCCGAATAACCAAAGGTTAGGGTTTATAAAGGCAAAAACCGCAAAACCGGGAAGGGAAAGAGAATGCACGGTTGTTAAGCGGTTGCTAAAATCTTACAATCAGCAATTATGATCTTAAGACATAGACAAATCACATCTTTATTATTAGCCCAGGTAACCCAGGTGTAACCTTTCTACTTTTAAGCTTGAGCAATCATGCTAGGGGGTTTTTGTGTGTTGCCAAGGGTGATGTAGTGCACTGCTATTGTCCGACTATTTGAGATCATAGTTTCGGACCAGAGTCTCACGGTGGGGGGGTTGCTTTCCCAGAATGCAGTCTCAAGTGCTCCAAAATGGAGTCCCTACTGTCAAGGTGCTACTTCACTCTGTTTTATTTTCACAGCTGCACCAGGAAGGTTTAAACCTGTAAGCTTAAGCTTAACTTTTTACACCTGCACATATACAATTTTAACTCTTCAAATTAATTTATTTATTTGAAAGGTAGAGTTACAAAGGGTAGAGGCAGAGAGAGAGAGAGAGATCTTCCATCCAATGGTTCACTCCTCAGATGGCCACAATGGCAACAGCTGAGCTGATCCGAAGCCAGAAGCCAGGAGCTTCTTCCAGGTCTCCCATGTGGGTGCAGGGGCCCAAGGACTTGGGCCATCTTCTACTGCTTGCCCAGGCCATAGCAGAGAGCTAGATCAAAAATGGAGCAGCCAGGCATGAACTGGCACCCATATGAGATGATGGCGCTGTTTTATCTACTACGCCACAGCCATAGCACCAGCCCCTGGGACAATACCATTTTGACACTTCTCTGTATGACTAAAATTATTTTAAAATAAAATGTTCATTAAAAAGTAATAAGTGCTACAATTTATCACTGGATTGGTCTTTTATAGATAAGGAAATCAGAGCCCACTGAATTGAAAATTATAGAAACATTCTCCCACACCTAATAGCTAATTTTAAAATCAATAGGTTTGTTTCTCATTTGGTTTTATCTGACTCTGGAGTTTTTCTTAATTATCAGAAAGGAGGAAAGTCTTTGTTGTTCATTTGGCAAAGGAAACAGCCCTTATCTTATCTCTGCCTAGACAGATCATTAAAATCAGGGAATGCGCCAGATGAGGCTCTAAAGAGAGTTGGGACTCCACTGGCTGCTTTGTCTCCCAGCAACCTTAAAAGTTGCAAGCTGTTTGATAGAAAACCAGTTACTAAGTTCCTATGACTCTGATGTATAGCTTTAGAGGTGTCCCACAAAAGTGTAAAATTGGGAAGTGAAGAGTCTCACACATTTTTTAAGATGCATGAACTTGACTTAATCTACTCACTACCTTCTTTAAGACACCAGTAAGTTTTGTCTGCATTAATTCAATACAGAATAACAGAATTAGGAAACGGAAAGGCTTCCAGGCATGGACTCAGAATCTTGGGTTCAAGTTCTGACCTCAGCACTGTTTTAAGATCAAATTCTATAACATACATGAAAATAAATTCTTCCATAAGGTTAAGGACACCTGTTTATTAAGTGGGCTGAACTCAGTGGGGTTCTGCACAGCTCTAATTTTCTCCTGTCACACTCTTCTAAATTTGTTGGTTAGAATTCTATTCAATGCGTCTGCCCAACATTTTGGGTGAATCTCACGGCTTTCGTTGCCGATCATAAAAGTCTCATTTACAGGGATCTAACACCAAACCTAAGTCTGACAGCTTTCTCAACACTCTTCCACTCATCCCCACAATCAGCCGACTCTGTGCACACCCACAGATGGCCCAGCTACAGCCGTACCCTGGGTTCAGAACCCGCTCTGTGGTCTGTTCTTTCCGTCGGCCTCCACCCTCCTCTTCCTCTCCGCCTTTAACACTGACTGCCCACTCCGGATCCATAAGGAATTTTCCAACGTAGAGTTCTAGGAGGCCTCAAGTACATCCTGGTCCAGACAGATCATGAGCATAACAGACCCTTCCCCACAATCTTAGGGCCACGTGACTGCAGGAAGAAGTCTGTGAGCCTGTGCAGCACCTTCCACATTGCGACAGGCATCATCTGGTGTGACACTCCAGTGACAATGTCCACCAGTGACAATGTCCACCAGTGACAATGTCCACCAGTGACAATGTCCACCTCCCACCAACGATGCCCCTGGTCTGCTCAGCCCTCAGTCATCTGCTGTGGGGAGCTGGAAATACTGACTGGGAGCCCTAAGCCCTTTACAGGACTCTGTCTGATGAAGGCACCTGCAGGCCACCTTGCTTTCTGTAACTGCTCAAGAAAATGAAAGATAGGGAAGCATTTCTGGAATTCTCTAGAATCCTGTAGTGAGCAGCTTTTCTGATGGTTAAGTGTACCTGGGCTTTATGGTCAGCCACACCTGGATTCATTCTCTCAGCCAATATTTATTGAGTGTCCCCACGTTTCAGGCTGTGTCAAAGGTTCTGTATATTTGAGACATACAAGTGAACAGAAGAGTAAAAATTTCCTGCCCTTTGGAGGGTGCACTGGGAGGCTGATAATCAAACAAAAAAGTGGCTTCATATACGATGAAAGTTCAGAAATCCCATGCACCCTGATGTGGTGCACGGAGAAGGACACAGCATCACTTCTGAGGTGTTTCTGCCCAATGTGCCTGAAGCAAACTCTGAAGAATATCAGATGAGCTCGCAGTGAACGCTGCTCTAGACAACGGCTCTGCACTTGTAATTTAAGATGTCACGAA